ATGTATGCTATATATTCTTTAATAAAGTTTGAATATCCAGCGCTATTAGCGCTGGAATGCGTCCAACAAATATATCATGCGTGCAGTTCTTTTCGATTTTTGAATATTACATCAATTTATCCGTTGCCAAGATTTTAACCGTTTCCTGAAAATACATCTAGAAATTCACTTAACAGAACAGAAACAATGTAATTATAATTTATCGTACGGTCAAAGTGAGTCATTAAAAAAAATTTTTTTATTTCCATAATAAAAAAAAAAATACAATATTTTGTATTTGAAACCATAATTACGTAAATTAAACTAATGATATAAACATATAAATTATTTTTTACTTTATAATAAATTTTAAGAATTAAAGAAAACCGTGATAAAATGTGAGTCATACATTGAATTAATTCGAAATATTAAGATGCAGAATCCCGGTATTAAATTTACCGATACCGATCTTATGTATTGTTTCACATATGTAAGTTTGTTTACCATTCATAATGAGTAGTTTATATTTGTTAAATTAGCTAAGAATATCTTTCCGGAGTATCGGAATAATTTCAAAATGCATTTAATACGTAAATATAGTTTATATTTAGAAAAATTTACGATATCGGTAAATTTATGAGTAATAATGTATATTTTTTTTGTACAAATATGGAAAAAAGACGGAGAGATTATGTATTCGACAATGAAGCGAAAAAGATATAAAGCAGCTGGTTCAAGAATCTGAAAAAATAATTAAGATCGAATATTCATTTTGACTTTATAATTAAAAAGACAATTAATCATTTTGATTTTATAATTAGAAAGACAGAATTGACGTTAATTATTTTGACTTTATAATTAAAAAGACAGAATTAATTATTTTGATTTTATAATTAAAAAAGACAGAATCAACGTTAATCATTTTGACTTTATAATTAAAAAGACAATTAATTATTTTAACTTTATAATTAAAAAATGGAAAAAACTACAGAAAAGCTTCCAACAATTATAATTGTTGGAGCAGGTATAGGTGGACTTACTTTTTATCATTCAGTTCGAAAACATCTTGGACAAAAATTTAAAGTTAAAATATTCGAACGTGAGTCTAGTCCTCAAGGTAATATTAATTAAATTATTTTATTTAAAAAAATGAGTGTTTACTATTCATTGACATTTAATTATTTTATATTTAATTAGATCGATGGCAAGGTTATAATATTTACGTTAATAGAAAGGGAGTTACCTCTTTATTTTATTGCACACCACCAGAAGTTCAAATCCGTTTTCCTGAAGCAATGCCAGATCCAGTCCCTAAGGAGCAACATTCTATATCGATGATTGACCATGTAGGAAGACAATTGATTTGTCTACCACAACGCAACCCTAAAACCGTTTATGAAATAGAAAGTATTAAACATGATTATGCTGGATTAGTTTCATATCGTAATAGATTACGAGATATTTTATTAGAAGGGGTTGATATTCAATGGGGTAAAAAATGTGTCGGATATGAAGAAAGTGATGACGGAGTTTGGGTATTGTTCGAAAATGGGACAAGAGAATTTGGAAATTTATTAATTGGTGCAGATGGAATTAATTCACCAAGTATGTTTATATGTTTATATGTTTATATGTTACAGTATATGTATATGTATATGTTTACCTCTTAACATATCATTTATCTGATAAAATTAATAATACTAATTTTATTATTTTTTATTATAGTTCGGAAACAAAAGGTTCCCGAATTAAAAATTCTCGATCTTGAGGTAACTAGTATCGACGTAGATATCGCAGTACCAAAAGATTATGCCGAAAGATTGATGTCTTTCTATGCAAATTGCTTAGTACAAAAATCACTTGGTCAATATGGAGATTCATTTTTTTCAATGTTACGCCTTATCCCAATCGATAAATCCGATGAACCAAAATATAGAGTTACCTTTGGATATAGTTATCCAACAAATCTTGATATCAAAGAAAATATAAAAATTGATGATAATGATCCAAAATCTGTTATAAACCATGCAATGTTAAGAATTAAACAATTACGATCACCTTGTGAATTAACAGATTTAATGATTAAAATATTATCATTGGTTCCATTATCTCAACCAGATGACAATTATCCATTTAAAACATATAATCCTCCACGACGTCGTCAACTTCGTGATATTAATCCATTATCTGTTCCTCCATGGAAAGATGATAGAATCGTTTTATTGGGTGATGCTGCTCATGCTATGAATCCACTGTTAGGATTAGGTTTGTATTTATTAAAAATAATCTTTATAAAAAATTTTTTCATTAGTACTTATTTTCATATATATATATTTTTTTAAGGTGTAAATAATGCATTACAAGATGCCGACTTGTTGACCAAGGAATTACTTAATTATGAGAATGACAATTTAGTCTCATGTATTAAACGATATAATGAACAAATGCGAGCTCGATCATCTAAAGATGTTATGGCATCACGTAGCATAGTAATAAAACAACGAGACCCGGTGGGAACTGTTGGACTAATTATTAGATATTCTTTTTATAGAGTTATTAACTTTTTCTTTAATGTTTTTATATTTATTAAAACTCGCGATTAACTTATTGCTCGGAGCGTGTCAAAGTGACACAAAAGTTACTTTTTTTTTGATTGACATTATTATCTATTATCGGTAGTGCACAATTTTATTTATCCGTACGCTTAGCTATATTCGCGCTTTACGTAACGGAGACATAATTATAGATTCGCTTATTATAAAATTACAACATTCTTTATTTATATGTATTATATATTATATATTCAATATGACAATAAATTATATATGATTTTTAAAACTAGTCTATCATTTTGTGTATAATGAGTATGAAAGTTACAAAATTTTATTTTTTGCAAATTGCTATTGAAATAATATTTCAGTTGAATACTAATTTCCCAGTAAAATATCTATTAATATATTAGATCTTCCTGTTGGTTGACCAAACAATAAAAATTTTTTTGCTATTTAACAGTCTTTTCATAAATTTAAACGAAGAAATCTTAATAATACCCTGTTTATTTTTTTATTTTCAATGTTTTAAGGCAAATTTCTAAAATTCTATAGATTAACGAAATTCGAAAATAGTCTTAGACATTAAATTAACAAGGGACATCATTAAGATATTTTACTCAAAGTTCTAAAACACAGATAATATTAAACTGTAATAGGATAAAATTTTGACTAGCACCAGTTTTTTTTTAGCTAATGATAGCGATAGATTTGTTGATCATAGTAAAGAAAAGCGCAGTAATAATTAAAGGAATAAAATGATCCTTTATCTTTTTGATAAAAAAAAAGGGAGATCTTTTAATAAAGGATTAATTGAAAATAAGTTTATTTCATCCGTAAACACTAACTATTACTAAATACTCAGTATTAGAACATATTCTACATGCAAGAAAGATATATCTGTTACAAATGGAAACAGAATTTAAATTAAAATTTGAGTAGAATTTATTTTATACCAACCGACGCTTTAACCCGAAAATCTTAAACAAATTCAAAAAAAAATCACTTAAAATTTGTTTTCATTTACAAAAATAAAAATCAATTCAGTTCGACACAACACAGTTTTAAATTCACACTTATTCTAATTTGACGCACAACATATTTAAATGGTACTTCAAATTTCGGCATCGGCTGATTTCAGTATCAGATGGCATACTAATTATTGTATAAAATTTAAAAATGAAAATTTATTATAAAAAAACGCATTTGTTCAAATATTTTTCAAGGATAAGGATTTTATCGGCTACTGTAACAAATTAAAATTTTAGTTTCTTTATATTTTAGTCGGTAACTTTTCTGCATATACATAATTTATCGTTATTATTACGTAACTCCCCAATTTTTGTAAATTTATTAATTTCTTTTGAACATTTCATAACTTATACTAAAATGGTAATGATGGGTAGCTTGGTGGCTTAATCATAGGATAGATTAGTGGAGCAACCAAAATTCAGCAGACCGACCAAAATTTAGGGTCGGAATAGGCCCGGAGCTAGGCCGG